GTCTTTGCTTGAGTATGGAACACAAATGTTTTCTAGTAGCATCAAAAAAAAAAAAAAAAAAAAAAAAAAAAAAAAAAAAAAAAAAAAAAAAAAAACATGAACTGAAAGATCAAGCTACCACACACACACACGTGTGCTCCACACTAAGGGCACACTCACACTACAACTTTCCTACTTATTTCTGGACGGAATTGCGGCCAGATGCATACAGGTGTGGCCGAAATTGAGGTTTGATGCATCTCTGGACGGAATTGCGGCCAGATGCATATAGAAGTATGCCCTCAAGAGAGCAACAAAAAAGAAAAAAAAAAAAGTTGAAACGAAGACTGTTGCAGGAACACCGACAGAAGGAAAAAAAAAAAAAGAATCATTCACATCCGAAACATTCACTGACAGAAGGAAAACAAGACGAGCAACTAAAAAATAAAAATTATAAGGAAAATTAAACACGATGGCAGCCTCATTATGCCATGATAATCACTGCTTCATCCAAATTTGTGTTCACTAAAACTCCAATCATATTGTCCTCTCTCTCTCTCTCTCTCTCTCTCTCTCTCTCTCTCTCCATAATAACTCCGGGCCAGAGGCATCGAATCTTTAGACCAAGTAACCTCTCCAACACCATCTTGATGGCCACTTCAGGGCTCGAGAATGGTGTGTCCGTGCATACTCGGGGACACAACCTGGGGAGTCGCGGGCGGTGTGGCGAAAACAGCAGGCGAATGGAATGACTCCACTTCTCCTACTGTCGGCCCGCTGTCGGCAATGTTGCTCCTGCTGGGAAGCCATCTCCGCCCGGGCGACGAGGTATCTTTCCTCCCATGTCCTGTCCATGGCAGCAACCATCTCCCGCATTCTCCTGGTCCGGGGACTATAGCGATGCACATATCGCGTTCTCCCCGTTAGAGGATCTCTGTAGCGGGGTTGTTCTCCTCCTTCTGATGATGACTCTCTCCGATGGCGGCACCCTCCTCCCCTGCAGGCTGCAGATCTTGATTCTCCTGGTCGAGTCATCGGCATCACAAACTGAAAGAATGGTTGCCGAAGATATGCACGTGAACGGTGCTGTTGGCTTCGATGAGATCATGATGCATGAGCTCTAAACCATTGGGGGCGTGAGCAGATATGGTCCTCAAGCCCATGCCGCAAAGCCTTACCAACTGCATTGTCGGCCTGAGCTGTGCGTTGCCTGACAGGCTAGAATACCACGTTCCCCGCTCTCCTCTGAGGACGATGTCGAAGGACACGGCCAACATCCTCACCCAAATCAATTAGGATGTTATGCAAAATGCAAACTGCTAGGAACTGTTCTGCTAATGTATCCACATTTGGTTGATGCTGCTTGTAGAAGTTGCGAAACCTTGCCTTCAGCAGTCCATTCCCACGTTCGCTATCCACTCGTACAACCTTCAATCGCGCATCAAATGCTGCAGTGCGCCTGTTCGCATTCCTGGGACCATAAGGGGTAATGAGCCAGGAAAGGAGGGGATAACCCGCATCCGCCAACAAATATCCTCCTGGTGCATCCACAACACCCTGCAGACAGACTGGCCGGTCCTGCTCTACAAATAGTTGCCCTCCCCAGGCGCAACGGTAGAGAGAAGAACTTCTCAACACCATGGAATCGTGCACGGTGCCCGGATGTGCGACGTTCAGATCCAGAATGCGTAAGTGATGATCAAAAACAATCTGTGCGATAATTGAAAAACGTTTCGTGCGCCCTGAACAATAATCATCCCCACAAGCACGTGCAGGTTTTTCTATATATATATGGGTGCAATCAATGCACCCCCAGCCGCCAGGGAAACCATGCTCTGCATACCATGCCATGGACGCAGCACGATCCTGGGGTGAACCAAAGGTTATTGCAGATGGGAAGCTGGACACAAGAGTGTGTGTCACGTCTTCCACTACGCGCAAGCCCAAAGCTTTGCCCATCCCATAAGCACTTGTGTTGTGCCCGTAGTTGTTGCTGCTCGCCCATCGATGAACTGCATAAGCCAGGAGTTGTGCATCTGCTTGAGACGTGGACAGTAACGTATGGCCCGGAATGGGACCGGCTTCACGTATCAAGTCCGTTATCCTAACCTTACCTTCTGCTTCATCGAAGCCGTTCTTCGACTTTCGCGTGCTGAGGCATCAGAATCTGTACGAGCATCTCAAACGTGCTCTTACTCATGCGAAGAAGTGCCATGTAGTGATCTTCTTCAGCACCATCTCTAACTCGGAGATCCTTCCACAGACCACCCGCACGGCGCATCACCCACCACCGCGGCGGCTCACGAGGCATCAGATCTGCTATCTTTGTTATGATGGGCATCGTCACCCCGACACGCTAGAAATCCAAGTGATCACTAGATAGTCCGCCTGGAATACTGGGCGGAGCACTTGCGGCACGCATGATTAAAGTGTCTGCATTTCTGGCCTCCAACAAGCTGTCAATTGGCTGCAGAGCTTCCTCCATACCCTTAACCACTGCAAACAACAGCCCGACATCGACGTCCATCTCTCTCTCTCTCTCTCTCTCTCTCTCTCTCTGCTATGGCCTCTCTCTCTCTCTC